CGGTATGGCCGAACTTAGCTTGTTGCCTTTGGCTATGCGTATGGGTGGTCCTCGTGAAGCCGTCTGGCATGCTCTTATCCGTAAGAACCATGGTGTTACTCACTTTATTGTTGGTCGTGACCACGCTGGTCCTGGTAAGAACTCTCAAGGTGTTGATTTCTATGGTCCTTATGATGCTCAAGCTTTGGTCGAACAATACAAGGCTGAAATTGGTATTGAAATCGTACCTTTCCAAATGGTCGCCTACTGTGTTGACTCTGATGAATATATGCCTGCTGATGAAGTACCCGAAGGCGTTAAGACTTTGAACATTAGCGGTACTGAACTCCGTCGTCGTTTGCGCACTGGTTTGCCCATTCCTGAATGGTTTTCATATCCCGAAGTTGTCAAGGTCCTCCGCCAATCCCATCCTCCTCGTGCTCAACAAGGTTTCACTGTCTTCCTTACTGGTTTGCACGCCTCTGGTAAGAATGCTTTGGCTCGTGCTTTGCAAGTTTCTCTGAACCAAGAAGGTTCTCGTACTGTTTCCTTGTTGATGAGTGAAAACGTTCGTGCCGAGCTTTCCTCTGAACTTGGTTTCTCCAAGCGTGATCGCGATCTTAATATTAGTCGCCAAGCTTTTGTCGCTGGTGAATTAACCCGTGCCGGTGCTGCTGCCATTGTTGCACCTATTGCTCCTTATGACGAAGCTCGCAAGAACGCTCGTAAGACCATTGAAAAGTCTGGTGGTTTCTACCTTGTCCATGTCGCTACTCCTTTGGCAGATTGTGAAAAGCGTGATCATGATGGTGTATACGAACGTGCTCGCAAGGGTGAAATTAAGGACTTCACTGGTATCGATGATCCTTATGAAGTTCCCTCTGATGCTGAACTCACTGTTAACCTTAGTGAACAATCGATCTCCCAAGCCGTCCACGAAATTGTCTTGCTTTTAGAAAAGGATGGTTACGTTGGTTCCGCTTAGATTGTAAAATATTATCATTTCTTTCATCTTTTATGTATACTTTTTTCTAAATTCCTTGATTATATATGTTTCTTTCCTATTTTTATTATTTTTTACCATATCAACCATTTCGTCTTATTCCTCCTTCCCACCTCGATTAAAAACCAAAAAAGTTTTTTCCTTATTTCTCACCCCAATATACTGTAATATCTTTTTTTTTTGTTCCATTCTTATATACATCTCAAAAATACAATATTTACCATTTAGACTATGGCCATATACTTATTTACATTATTCAATATATCTTTTGGTTTTTTAATGCTGTGATTAATGTGGGGTCATATAATTAATTATAGCAACTGTTGTGCGACAACATATGCGGTATTTTTATCGGCATAATCTTCCATACTAACAAGAAATATTTGTCAATTATACTCTGGTTGCGTTTTGTAAACCACAAATCTAATTTTGGAATATTTTACTGTGTAGGGATCCATTAAAAATTCTTATCGATAAAGAATGGAATTCTGGAACTTAAGGTTTACCTGACTCTTAGTAGTTTTTTTATGAATATGGCAGGTGAAATCTATGTATTGGCTCCAATGACGCTGTTACCAATCAAATTATACCACATAAAAGCATTTAATTTGTATGTATACCTATTTATACCTTGATTGATGTGTTTCTAATACATTTCTCGGCAAAATAGCTTAAATCAACATTGATACACAAGAAAACATAATGAAGCTCATATGGTTATTTGTTGTTCGTTCAAGAGGCATGATTTAAACATTGAAAGGGCCGATGTTTTGCCGCTGTGGGAAATAACCCTGCAGTTCAGTGCAGAAATTATCAGATATGGTTTTACTGGAACAATATACTAATGGTGGTAGTGGCAGTGGTACGAAAATGCTAATGATCATGATATTGGAGAGGAATGACAATGCGTTATCTGGTCGTTTGTTCTTTGTTTTATTATTCTATCCAAATAGGATCTTTTTTTTTCATCATATACAAAATAGTATAACCAGTTCACGCCATGATATTATAGCTATTAAAGTCTATTAATCATCCAAACACTTCATTATATATTTTTTAAGGGCAGATAGTGTAGATTTAAATGTAAAGAATAGAAGTTAATTATGATTAATTGATAACTAATATATTCAAAAGACTGAATTTACTGGGAATGCAAAAAGCGGGACTCCACTGTTTTATCCAAGGATATCATCAGGGTAGTACTGGTGCCAAGAGTTTAAAAAATCTTATTAAATTCCTTACCCGTTAGGGCTCTTCAAAAGAACCGAAGAACCGGAACCAAATCGTAAAGCCGGGACGGTTCCTTATAAGAATCGACTGAACCGAACCCAGTTCTTTATATGAAAACCGAAGGACCGAAAAAGTAATCTAGAGTAGTAATGCGATGGTGACATTATATTTCAGAGGCTATGATTCTATGAATAAAAAATAAATACAGAAAGTAATGAGACGAAAAATATAAATGGTGGAACATATAATCTAATTGGAATATTTTATTGAGGAAAATAATAGCAGAGAAGTGAAAAAAAAAAGAAGAGGTATGATAATATTTAATATAAAAAAAAATAAGTTATAAAATAATGATACGTTAATAAAAATAATAGAGAGAAAAAATACATAAAATAAGGTAACAATATAATTATAATATAAAAAAGAGGTAATAATATATTGAGAGAGAGTGAAATATATATATATATATAAGGAGACCATGACATTTGAATATTTATTTAGCATTTAGTGCTATGTACATAACATATAAAAATATAATCTAAAATATCATTGATAATAAAGATATCAATCTCAACATGGTTTTTTTATATATTTTATAGTAGTCTATATAATTTTTTATTATTTGTTTTTATTGATTGAGTATATGGGTTTTGTTTGTACTTTTGCATCCTTTTATGTATTTTGAATACTCGATTCTTGGTTCCACGCATGGTTGCTCGGTTCTTTATGGTTTGGTTTGGTTCGACTCCTTAGAAGAATTGAACCGAACTGAACCATAGAGAACCTTATTACCCGTTAGTAACAAATATATGCAGCACATGGTATACTATGAGGGCAGTTTTTTTTATTGATATATAAGATGAGATATTCTGAAACACAATTCAAAAGTAGCAAAGTGATAAAAAACAGACTTTTCTAATATTCTTTTCTGCAATGGAGGAAGACAATTTTGTTCTGCTTTATATTATATTACTTACTGATTGGATGAGTAACTATTAATAACAAATAAATAAATAATGAGTTGCTACACGTAGCCATTGTTTTAAACTAATAATATAATACAATAGTAATATCTTTATATATTGTCTAATAATAATGAAATGATACTACACAGAGATTATAAACAAACATCATTATTGTCCACACCTTCTCATTATATAAGAGCATATAAACTAATATATAGTATTTACCATCAAACTGGTAACTATGTATATAACTGTATAAAATCTGTATAAATATATTTCAATATTGACTTGCCTCAAATATCACTTAATAATTACACCAACCAATTTAAACAATAATAAATCACTACTATCTATATGTTATAATTATAAAACATAATCATTTTAGTATTATCTTTACAATCATTACTTTTAATGTACCTACATAGATTCTTACAGGTTTTCCAACCATTTTATTATGCTTATTTTTTGATATATCTATAATTCCCATTTATTCTATCTCTTATCTATACTGTAATCAAGACTAATAGAAGAGTAGATAATTTTGGTAGTTCTAATTTTAGGATGCAAAATAGTATAAAAAAGACAGCTGTTGTCAAGCTTCAAGCTCATCTTTTCTCTGAAACAAAATTATGATGATTGATCTCTTTCATACCTAATAGCTTATTCCTTTGTTGAGATAACATCAACAAACTGAAATTACTGTTTAATATTGTGTTTAGGGTATTATAACCAGAAATGTGTATCATGCTAAATTTTCATGGTACCTGTTGTATCCAACATACAATGGCTTCACAATAAATAATAATTCTTTATTATTATTATTATTATTACTGTCATTCACCCTATATCTCACTTGTGCGGTGATTCTATTTGGATAATTACTTATGTTACATACAGTATTGCACCATCCTCTTTCACATATTGTTAATTATGCTAGATCACATAATCCTTCTAATGATATCATTCATAGTCTACTTAAATATACTGTCCTCATAACACACAATCCAAATGATGTAATCTATATTCTAATATTACACCATAATGCACAAGTTGTGATAGTCCATCCATGATGAGCACTTTCTTATAAATAGAGAGACTATTTTTTATCTTAATAAACTTCAGTTCATTATTTTTGGGGTCTCATTGACTTATCTCGTCCCCTTTTATTCTTTTTATTGATTGATTTCTCCCTGATACAACAGTACCAATCCTAAAAATACATCTTACTTTAAAACCTCTTTTTCTGTAATTAAACAGTGTATGCCTAATAGTCAAACATGTTTTCCTTCTTATCTGCTATTTATGATTTCTCATTAGTTATTAGTGATGATGATCCTTCCACAGATTTATCTAAAGAGCCCTCGTCACAACTTTAACCTCTACTTCCTCCTCTAAATAGTCTTGCTTAAGATATCAGGATACCTTCTCTTCTTTAAATTGTGGTCCTGCCTGTTACAACACATTTTAAGCCATTGCTTATTCACTCTAAATCTACTTAATTCCGTATTATTATTTGGGTTTATTCTCTATCATTTTTTTAGTAAGTATACATGTAAAATAGAAACTCTTCATTAGAAATTATGACAATGCAATCACTATCTTTAGACAATTCAATATTATAAAAAAACCAATAATTATATCACATACAATCACTTATTATCACTAGCATTGTTGTAATCAGCAATAATAATATTGTTCGGATTGCTGATAAATAACAATAGTTGTAAATGATAACAATAAATAAAAAAATATTATAATCTCACGTTGTACAAGAAATTGAGCGGAAAAAAATAAAAATGCTAGCACCTTTAGGTGCGCGATATTCCGACCAACCTGATTCGAACAGGTGACCTAGAGATAGGCTGTTTCACTACAGTCTCCCGCTCTACCAACTGAGCTATAGTCGGTTATTGACAATGTCGCGTCTGAGGCGAATTTTGAAAGAAATTCATCTTCAGCTGGTCACGTGACCTCACGACGTCAGTTCAAACCTAGGAATCTGGGTCGACTAACCAGATCGTATTGGTAAAACATTTTGCCCATAGGTTTATCTTCTGTAGATAGATAGGTTGATCAACTATCCTATTTTTAATAATCTCTATCTATCTCTATCAAATGTTGTCCCCTCATCACCCTAGATGATTAAGGTTATATTGCCTATAGATATTTTTTAAAAATAATGGATATAGTATTCTCTATATAATAATTATGGAATTTGGTAGGTTTTTATATCAGAAAATAAAAAATGGATAGTATAAATCCTTTAAGACTTTTCTTAAAGGTTTATTATCCAAGTTCTAAATGGAAATAAAAAGGTTTTTATAATTACTTTCACAATGGCTTATTTATACTTTTTCTATTCTATGATGGATGAGGGCTTAGTAGATTATTATGTATTATGTATAATAGATTTGGGTCCTTCTTATATAATTATTTCTTTTATGAGAATGATAGTAATATAGGATCTATAGGATTGAGTGTAAGAATATAGTGCACCCTTTGATCCTTTCTTTTAGATTTTATTATATAGTACATTATTATGTGATTTGACTTAATTTCCTTTTTAAAATTGAAGGATTTGGGTTTCCTTATTTGGACATGTTCTTTAGGCTGAGCCCTTATATAATATATGTTTTATTATTGTTGTATCAGAGAGAAATCAATTAATAAAAAGAATAAAAGGAGACGAGATAAGTCAACGAGACCTAAAAAAAATGAACTGAAGTTTATTAAGATAAAAAATAATCTCTCTATTTATAAGAAAGTGCTCATCATGGATGGACTATCACAACTTGCACATTATGGTGTAATATTAGAATATAGATTGCATCATTTGGATTGCGTGTTATGAGGACAGTATATTTAAGTAGACCATGAATGATATCGTTAGAAGGATTGCGTGATCCAGCATAATTAACAATATGTGAAAGAGGATGGTGCAATACTGTGTGTAACATAAGTAATTATCTAAATAGAATCACCGCACAAGTGAGATATAGGGTGAATGACAGTAATAATAATAATAATAATGAGGAATTATTATTTATTGTGAAGCCATTGTATGTTGGATACAACAATTATAGAGTTATTTTATTATATAGAATACAACAATAATAATTATATCATTGTTGTATCCAACATACAATAGCTTCACAATAAATAATAATTCTTCATTATTATTATTATTATTACTGTCATTCACCCTATATCTCACTTGTGCGGTGATTCTATTTAGATAATTACTTATGTTACACACAGTATTGCACCATCCTCTTTCACATATTGTTAATTATGCTGGATCACGCAATCCTTCTAATGATATCATTCATGGTCTACTTAAATATACTGTCCTCATAACACGCAATCCAAATGATGCAATCTATATTCTAATATTACACCATAATGTGCAAGTTGTGATAGTCCATCCATGATGAGCACTTTCTTATAAATAGAGAGACTATTTTTTATCTTAATAAACTTCAGTTCATTATTTTGGGGTCTCGTTGACTTATCTCATCTCCTTTTATTCTTTTTATTGATTGGTTTCTCTCTGATACAACAATCATACATCTGTCCATAATTGTGTAACCTGCATATCATTCCTGAATCTGACCTTGATATCCAATATTGAGATTTTTAATTGTGAAATGATGTTACTTCTTGGTCCTACTCGACCTTCTTGTTTATTCCATCACTGTGGTATGGATAAGAATTAATGACAAAGAGAGATGGAGACAGAAGAAGTCTTGTGAGAATCGATATATATTTATTATAATGATAAAGATGATAATAAAGATAATTATATTCTAGTTTACAAGTACAGTATTTATATATTTTCTTATCCATGCCACTTAATCATTGATCATGGTAGTTTGTTAATATTGCATTTGTTTGATATAACGGATATATATTATAGGTAGTGTTTATGGTGATATAACACAACATGAGGAGAAATAATTATATTTGTTGTACATATATATATTTGTTGACCATTAGTCATTGGATGATTATTATTACTTTTACGCTCTTACTCGTACAATGAGAAGGTATGGTAGTATTTGTATTATTTGATAATTATTGTGTATAGGATATTATACCAGGATCATTATTATTGTATTATTATTGGAATGAGGATTATGTGAGGCAACCGATATTATTTATTTATATTATTATTTATTATTTGTGATAACACGATGTAGTAGAATCGGTGATAATATATATGAGAAGAAGTATGGATATGTAAATATGCCACAATCACTTTCAACATTATTCTCAATTACCAAGGATCTTAGCATCTTGGTAATGCAGCCAAGGATCTTGGCCAACCAATAACCTTCTGTCTCATTCATATATGCAATACGATTGGATATTATTCCTCACCAAGTTGTCTTCTGCCAAGAATAATTGGTTGCTGCGCTGCTTTGGAAAAAGTATAAAAGGCCAGGATTTTTGAACTGAAATAATTATCGAACAATTCACTAAAAGAATAAATTAACATTCTTATCCCTCAATCACTCAAATATTGAATAATTATATTTGTTTTATATTCTTGATACAATTCATATCTATCCAATTGCTTATTAAAAAGCCTTATTTTATCTAACCACTTGATCTAATCAATTCAATACAAGTCTTCTAATTTCTACAATAATTGAAGACCATTTTATTAAATATATCGTTGTAGTATACGTTAATTACTACTGGTGCTCACTATATTAAACTATCTATTACCTGTAATCCACCTAAGTCCTATCTTAAAACCAAGAGTTACAATAGTCCATCCATGATGAGCACTTTCTTATAAATAGAGAGACTATTTTTTATCTTAATAAACTTCAGTTCATTATTTTTGGGGTCTCATTGACTTATCTCGTCTCCTTTTATTCTTTTTTATTGATTGATTTCTCTCTGATACAACAATTATCATAATAGTATGCACCATTACAAGTATTATCTTAATTAGCTTTAGTATTATAATAAGATCTTTTAATAAAAGCTGTAGGAAGTACATTTTCTCTTAGATAATTAATATCACTTTCTACTAATTAGTAATAACAGGCTCATTGATTGCTGTTGTGCTAATAATATTATTCAATACTTACAGTTCAAAATATAGAAATTTTTGCTTTCATGTCTTATGAAACTAAAAGTCCTAAAAACTCTCCTCTAGCTAAACATGATTCACAATATCTAAATCATACTTCAGGGCTTGATAATAGTACTTTCTATTATTCTCATCAATGCTATTTTTGAAATATCCTTATGTCAATAATAATAATAATAATATAATAGTAGGTATTATTTGATTCTCTCTGATATATAGAAGATGTAGTATGATAGATATATAATAGATCCAATATTATTTCGAGATCAAGGTTATTGGATTTGTTTGTATATAATTATTATGTTAGGGTTTATTATTTGTTATAGGGAATATTATTACTACACACACACTCTCTCTGCATATATACTTATTCTTAAGAAACAGGATGAAAATCAGGTACTTTTTGATATCCTGATTCCTAAATAATTTTGCAGTGATGGAATCTGTAGGTGTTGATACTATAAAATCTAAATAGTAACAGAAAAAGCACATCCTGAACAACATCTGCCTTCTCTCAATAAACTGAAAACTGATCAATACCACCCTATTTCCTGGTGACATTATCCTATATAATAATACAGATGGAGGCATTATCGGTGACAATGTCATAAATGCACTAAATCTATTATTGACTGATACTACACAAATATCTAAAAATATTCCATTAGTATAAGATTATTTGTGACACGCAGTCATTCCTTTATATTTTGAATAAGGTTGATAAAAATCAACCACTACCCAAACATGATATGGTAAATTATAACTTCTTTTTTCTTTTATATTTGAATATATATGAAAATAATATTGCTGTATATATAACATTGTATAATATTATAGGTTTTTATTAGTAAGTTTGATTTGTTTGATGAAAAGGCCTTTGTGACAGGAAATGACCATAGTATTGTTACAACCACAACAACAATAAGAACACTGGCACTTGATTTGTTTCAAGGCATAAATCGACATGCTTTCCTGTATGGTTTGGAGGAACCTAATGATGGTTCCTCTATGGCTACTTCCTTAGAAGACACGGTGTCATCTTCATCTCACATTCCATCCCCCGAAGCTCACCCACAACATCAACAACCAACTATAAAAAAACTGCAACACCCAATAAAACCAAAGGCAAAGCATATCAACTTTTCCACGTTATCCACGAAACACCACAAAAAGAGGGAGAAGAATAAGAGGAACTTGAAGGAAACCTAAGCAAAACGGCATGCTAGGGATAAAAAGTCAAGAGAAATTCGAGCTAAGTAAACATATCGAAAACTAGCAAGCCATATCCGCAAAAATATCGTTTGAGATTGCAAAAAATGCAAAAGTACCACATTTTATGGGATCGTGGGTTCTACATATGTTTTGTTTCCCTGCTTCTTTTTTTACATAATTAAACATGACCAAGCCAATATTCATTCATTCTGTCATATTCTGACACTATACTCTATAATAAATACTGATATTACACAAAAGGCACAGCCTGAGCACATATACAAATAAGGAAACTTAAATAATCCTTGTGTAAAAAAGGAAATTAGTATAATCGCATAACGATGTACTACCTTCATATAACTCTCTAAAAAGAAAACGTCAAAGAAGATGTCAAAGATAAAAGGCGCAGCCTTAGACCTATCCTTATAACTACTCTCATAAACGATAATAATTATCATATCCCAAAGGTCCCGATTCATCCATCCAGGATATAGAATAGTATAAAATAAGTAACTAAGCCCACATCTTTCACAGAATAGAAAAAGTATAAATAAGCCATTGTAAATGTAATTGTAGAAAAGTAATTCAACT